GAGGGTCCAAATTTCTACCCTTAAACACTTCAACACTCCTTTCAGATCGTGTTTCACAAAAACATTTCCCTAATGGACTTCTAAATCAAATAAAAAACAAAAAATAAAATGAACAAGTGGCTATTACTCTACTAAATGTCTCGATCGATTTTTAATTTCTCTTCTTTCATTTCTCGGTAACTATACAGAGTTAATCGATCATTTTTTTTATCTTATTAAGCTAATTAAGTGGTCAGTCTACCATAGAAATATCAGTTCTTAAATAAGCATCGCTCATGAAAAACCAATATTTTATTCAAAAAATATCCCGACAGATTTTTTCAATATTACGACATTATAACTAATCATTTTCACACATATATCGAGAAGTCTTAACACTTAAAATGATCGAGAGTTGTCTCTTATTCACTTTTAATTCTGATAACAATTTAAAAATAGTACTATAGATATCGTATTCTACGAAAAACCCTAGAATACTCAGTGTTTTTAGAAAATTCAGTTTTTCCCGAAATGAAGAAACTGACAATTGAGAAAACACTTAACATAGATGCAACTGATAGAGCTCTATCGAACGTGTGACTCAAGTTCTCTTCATGTTCACTTTGATTTTTTTCAATTTTTTCATCAAACGGTACAATGGTAGCGCAAATCAACCATATGCAACACTGATTGCGATGCACAAACCGTTTTAGCTGCTTTCATTCTCATTCAGTTATCCAATACGTATATAACAATAAAAATACACAATTATGATAATCATCGAGAAAAAGTAAACATGGATGAACTTACGAAATCTAAACTCCTCGAAAATATCAATATCTTATGAATGTATTAAATAATAAAGTAAACATCGATGTTTTCTGATTATCGAATCACATATTTTACAATACTCTACATGGCAGCATCATTTGACTTGACCTTTTCTCAAAAATGAACATGATCTGTCATTGACATGTCAAATTATGGGTAACAAACGATTGTATTGATTCTATCGAATTGCATTTTCTTCTTGAGGGATTTTTATCAATAATTATATCAGACGTGTATATCACCAATGTGAAAATAATCAATGATCCATTAAAGCATAATTTTATTGATTATATCTTTCCGATTGTCAACAATGATTCTTATAAAGAAATTTTGAATGCATTTCTTTCAAAGTTCAAAATTAAATTGATTTGTAATAATAATCCACTTATGGTTATACGCCATTTATGTGATGAATACACAAATTTCGAAAAATCTTCTCCACTTAATAATGCACTAAATGCAAATCTATTCAAGAAAATATTGGTTGAAAGCGATAGGGAAAGATGATATTGGCTCTAACCATTGTACTACAACAAACGAACACACATGAAATACGTCTACTTCTTCAAAGAATCGGATATCATTACCTACAGACAACGAAACGATAGCACGAATTGATGAGTTTTTCCTTCTGAAAAGTAGACTCTCACAATGAAATATATTAGTGTCGAATGTGAGATTGAAATATCACACCCATTCTCACTCACATCCTCTCAGCGTCTATCCTGCTTACTGTAAAACTGTTTAGTTGGATGTAACAAAAGAATATAAGATTCTCTCATCTGCACTATTATTCATTAATTTACGTCTGTTACCTAGCAAATGGGACTATCAATTAAATAAATATTGACCACTTCTGTTGTAACTGAATTTGTCACTTCGAGAAAAATCTTATGAAATTTTAACAAATGAATAATATATCCAATCGTTATAATCCAATATTTATTTTAAGATGCGAAAGATATTGAGGAAATAAAAATCCAGAAAAAACGATTCGAAATTATAAGAAAAAAAGAACATTATCTTCCATTAGAATATTCCAATTGCATTTTTCTATGATTACTTTCTTCATGAATTATTTATTAAAAAAGTCGAAGATGATCTGGACCAGATGCAATAACTGTAAATTCTCCTGTTTGACCTTCAGAATAATGTGTTGTAACAAGTAAAGTATATGGAGTGCCGGCTTTGAGGTTATGTGATAATTTAAATTGACGATTACTATCAAATGTATTAATAGATGAAACTAAGTATAAACTTATCTTCAAAGGATCGAATCCATCCATAAAAAGAGCAGCAAAAGTATCCATATTACTTCTACTTGTGAAAGTGTAAAGACCTGATGTATTGACAATGATATTAATTGTTTTATAGTATTTCTTTGATCCTGGAAGTGTTGCACTATTGATTGTTAATGCATTAGAATAATTAGAAAGAATAGACATCGGTGCAAATTCGGTTGTTATTAATGTTGGTAGAAAGGTTGGTGTTGTTATTGTTGACGGTGAAAATGCTAGAGAAAGAAATCATCTTATTGACTAAAACAAGTAAAATTGTATTACTTGAGAATGGTGGACATAATCGTTGATCAATCATCGATAATGGATAACAGAGAGGAGATGAATTACATCTAGGATGACGAACACATACATGATCAGTTGTTTCGCAAGTATCACCTGGTGCTTGACATGGTTGTAATCGTGAACAACTTAAATCAAGAATAGCACAAATACCAACATTATTAGACAATGATAATTGTAAACATCCACATTCATTATTTGATGAGCATAAATCATATTGAGATTTACCATGGCATGTTTGACCGTTAATATTAACTACTAAATATATTATTTTATTGAAATATATTAAAAAAAAAATGCAAACCTGTCAAACTGAAATAGAATGATTCAATATTACAGAATTTAAAATATAGAAAAGATATGTTTTACCTTAGAAGAATGAAAATAGAATAATGAATTGATATTGAAACCATGGTGGACAATGTAATTGAATAAAAAATATATGATAATAGCTCTCACTTTTATACTCAATAGATTAATGTTCTCATAATTGTGTTTGCATTAATCTCCAGAAAGCCCTAATAGTGAAGTTTTAATTAATTGATAATCAATACAGAATTAACGACGTACTTTATTTTGATGACGTGGCAAAAAAAAGCAGGATCAAGAAATAAATGACATGACACATTGACTAAAAAAAATGCTTATCATGCCTATAAGGTTACATACTTTCTGAAAATTTGTTCGTCAGAATGATGTATAGATATAGTGTATTTCTCTACAACGTCCTGGCAAGATCAGAATGGATACGATAGTGAGGATAGAGATGAGAACTAAACTAATAACGAGAATGTACTAATGTGAACTATAATGGTGGTCCGTTTGTGTTAGGTTGTTCGCATTCAGCAAGGAAAAATTTGAATGGATGAGTAGGTGAGCGATTAGAATTCTACATCGGTCGAGATAATTATTTTCATTTTTTGACTTTGCATCAAGAGTCAGCTTTCGAATGTATTGATGAAATAATTGCTGTCTTTCCGATTCCGTAAGATTTCCTCTCAAATCATCCCGTATCCATTTGGACAATACTAATATTTCATATTCACCAATTTTTTGCACATCCATTCAATGCAAACGAATATATAAATGATCTTGTTTATTTAGTGATTATATTGTATTAATAGAAAGCTGAATATTTTTGCGTTTTTTTTAAACGGAACTAATGGTCCATGTACCCAATCAAGTGGTTGCCAAACGAAAGATGAAGAAGATAAATTTGCTGCTCACATTCCCACGTTAAATGATGGTTGAATGAGTATAGTACAGTTTTGTGAATCAAGATATGATAAAATGCATTCGCACAGGCAGCTATACATAAGTTGTTCGGATGGATCATTCGATTATCTCCGAGTTTTTCTAGTGTTAATTGTAACCATTGAAGTTCTCTGGAAGATAATTTCCTGTTCTAAATTGTTTATCACTTTTGAACAAAAATAGGTTTGGGAAGAATTTTTTCAGTTTTTAAAGATGATCAGGCATTTTATTTAAAATAAATTGATACGACACAACCATAAATCGTGGAACACCGGCAATTTAGGGAGACTCTAAGTAAACTTTTGAATGATGACAAGAGAACGGATAAGAGATAGCTATTAACTTTTAGGATTCGTAAGTTCCTATTAAGAATCTACTTAGAACAGGGGTGTCAAGGTTCTCTGTTTCTTACGGTTCTGTTTCCGAATTTTTAGGAACAGGAATCTTTTTAACAACCCTTTTCTACGCGTCTTTGAACATGCTGGGCTTCTTGAACATATTTTCTCTTTCATTTTGAGGCAAGTTACTATACATTCCAGGGTTCTTAGGAGCAGAACCGAAAACTGACACCTTTTTATCTCCATCTTTATTCTAGTAGTTGATGAAAACAATCAAAGAAAAAATGAAACATGCACATCAAGACGAAAAAAACACACACAATCTGTATGCGATATATATAAATATATCGTTCTTCCACGCGTGCTTTCCCCCATCCGTCGCATTCGAATATTCTCCTACTCACATGTATATCAATACTCAAAGGCGAAGGAAAAGAATGCAAGAGGAGGAAAAACAAAGACCCATGCATATAAAAAATGAAACGATACGCAAGAAAAGAAAAGAGAATCTAAAACAATACACTGGAATGTATATCATGGACAATGGATATGACACACGGTTGAATACAATTGTAAAAATGCGTGAGAGATGAATATCCATCGTGTGCATCTACATGCTCTTGATAGTGTTTAACAAAATTGACAGAAGCCGACCATGTTAATAAGCCGTTCGCGTCAGCTCCTGCTTTCTACAATCGATCAAACGTGTACATTGTCGAAAGGTTCCCTCCCGGACAGGGAACAAAATGGTAAAACGGTATTAACATGGTTACCTCTGAATAGATAAAAACAATTTTAAAAAGATAAAGAAAATAATTCTAACAACACAAATCATTTTTTTGCATTATTTTTGACCTATTTTGTTGGTAGTAAAATTACCGATAAATTGGAGATAGTTAAATACTGCTCGACAAATTTATTTCAATTCTAATTATTTATTACAATTTAAGTGATATTTCTTGTCTTCGAAGATGATTTTTTTCCGTGTTTCATAAAAGTTGTACAAATAAATTAATCATGAAACAAGAAGAAAATGGAACATGCTGTATATTTCTTGTAGTCTTATTTCATAGTGATGTGAAAAGAATCGCACCTGCCTCACCGATATTATAATCGTCTTGTTTTCTGTACCACTGCGAAATTAGACTCAAATAAATGTATAGCATCTTCTATTTTTCTTTCATCATGTTCTGTATCTATGATTAATTTATTTGTATAGTTTTTATGAAACACCGAAATAATCATCATTGAAGACAAGAAGCGTCATTTAAATTGTAATAAATAATTAAAATTGAAATAAACTTGTCGAACAGTATTTACCTATATCCGATTTATTATTTCTGACATTTTCGGCTAATTATCTGTTTTACTCTTTCTCAGGAAGAATTTATAATATTTGCACAAAAAAAATTATTTTAATCCTTTTTTAACGATTAAACTACGCTGTAATTTTGTGTTTACTTCGATACTCTGAGTATACTACGGCGATTGTGTGGCAGGTAAATAGGCCCAAAATTCTAGGAAATGATTTAAAATGAGAAAAAAAATACTATAATCTGATCAAAATGATTAACACAGCTATTTTTCTCACTTTAAATGAAACAACACTGAGAATTATATCATATATGTAAATTATATACAGGACGTGTCAATACTTAGTTTATACTAATGCGTTAGTGGGTGTGGATCACATTTCACAATTAATCCGCGCCCATACCCACGCCCTCTAGAAAGTCTAACGCCTGTTATTCTCGGTCGCTAAAGTCCGTAATGCGATCAGGGGAAGGGAGGAGGGGAAGAGAAGCCGCGAAACTTCGATTTAAAACTTACATTCCGTATTTTCTTTAAAAATATATGTGAGTGTCACAAAAAGACACTCGGTTTAGAATTGAAATTAGATTTTAAGAGTCTGGAGAATTATTCATATGAATATATACCTACATACCCCTTTTTCTGTATGGGAACTAGGAGACTTGAGAATTATTTATATGAATATATAGATATATACTTCCCTTGTTTTAAACGCAAGTATGTACATATAGGGTGTGGATGTAAGCTGCTCTTCATTCCTATCCACTCATACACACATCCACTCACACTCATACCTATATTCCACACGCTCACATCCACAATCATAACCACATTCACACTCACATCCCACACTCCATTCACACTTATACTCACACCTGACACCTACTCACACTCCACAACCACACCTCACACTCACATCCAAGATTTATGTGAATATTAAAGTATAAATCAAATGAAATTGTATATTCATCAAATGATAATATTCCAGGGATATAATTCGAAATCACATTCAAATCATCGAATCAGATTCTGATAGAAGAAGAAATGACGAGTTTCAGTGATCATCGAAGTGCACTCGCAGAATGTCATACTCTGCAACCTGTTTGTTGTATAGAAATATGGCAAGATGCATTGCATGTGATAATAGATCTCTTCCTTATCAGTTACCCATGAAAGAGATACTCATCATATTGTTAGACCAACACATATCTCTTACATTGTGCGACAGGATGATAATGTTCGTAAACTTTGTTTTCATGCTGGTTTTTAATGCGCAATATATCTGCGCTAATGAACATGTGATTGTTCATACGCAGTACGGCGATGTATTAGGTTATCAGACTGATTTGGCTCGTGTCTTCTACGGTATTCCATTTGCTCAACCACCTATTGGAACATTGAGGTTGTTCTAGACAAAGCCTTAGCACTTGTTTTCACATACTATACATATCTTTGTATAGGTGGCAGTCTCCAGTACCCATCACTAAATGGGATCCCAAAGTGATTAACGCCACACAACCGCCCCCTGCTTGTTCTCAACCAGCAAGTGTGATAACTACCATTCTCACTCCAAGTATTGTAAGTTTTTTATATAATCGAGAATGGTTTTATTTTTTAACAGATTCACATGCGTACGCACGATAGATGTCTGAAGATTGTCTGTATTTGAACATATTCACACCGTTGTCTAGTGATTCACCACATACGAGTCTTCTACCAGTAATGATCTTTATTCACGGCGGTGACTTCCAGTTTGGCTGGGGATCACAATCGATCTTCGCATCTGAACGTTTAGTTAATACAACTAATGTAATCGTTGCACTAATTCAATATCGAATAGGTAGAAGTCGAATTATCTTAAAGTAATTGTACAATAATATGATTAAAAATAACAGGTGTACTTGGCTTTTTGGCAACTGGAAATGGTCCCAATGATATCAAAGGTAACTATGGCATACTCGATCAACGTTTGGCTATTGCATGGATTAAAGCCAATATTGATGCATTCGGAGGAGATCCAACTGAGGTTTGAATAAGTAGATATTCAACACATCACAATACTGAACTATTCTGTCTTTAGATTACATTATTTGGTCAAAGTGCTGGTGCTCAGTCTATTGCTCTGCATTATGTTACGAGTGAGATGCAGTCATTCTTTCAGCGAGCAATTATTCAAAGTGCACCAATGACAATTCCATTCAGGTATAACGATCAGATAAATATAATAATAAAGATTTTGTTTGAGTAGAACATACCTTGAATATGTCACACCCACTGTTCTCCTTGCTGAACAATTGCATTGTGCTACTGACGATGTAGCATGTTTTCGAAATCGTTCTACCGACGAAATCATTGCTGCTCAAACTGCCGTGAATAGCATGTTGACTTCACTGAATGTTCTGTTCTTTTTCGAACCATGGTTACCCGTTATTGACAATGTGATTGTTCATGGTCAACTTCTAGATACCGTGTACAATACGTCATTTCCTTTGAAACCTTTGATTATTGGTACAGTCACTGAAGAATGTCGAGATTTTATTTATGGAACATGGAAAAAACCAATATCGCCTAGTGAATATATTGGTATAGCCTTGGTCATCTTTCAGGAAAAGGCATTCAAAATTCTCAAAAAATATCCGCCGGTCGGTTCTGGTGACCAACGATCACTTCTATCTCGTGCTGCTACACAATGGGTGTTTGCTTGCTCGACTAGAGTCTTTGCTCGAAAAGGTGCAACATATTCCTATGTCTTTGGTTATCCATTCGATACGGAAAATTTGAGAAATCGGATAGAATGCAGTGATCATGCGTGTCATGCTGATGAAATACCCTTTCTTTTTGAATCATCTTGGGCAAATTTTAGTGATGCCGGTCGACGTATATCTCAAAGTATGGCTACCTATTGGACAAATTTTGGCAAGAGTCAAGATCCTAATGAACCATTGAGAGTTCCACTACCATGGCCAAGAGTAACAAGTGAAAATGAGAAATACATGTACATTCAAGATCCACTTCAAATAGGAGAGAATTATTTGAAGAGTGATTGCGACTTTTGGGATGAGATTGGTTATAAACATAATTTCTTTGAATAAATTGACGAGGATAACATCGGTATAATGAATCTTATCTTCTAGTTCGTCCTTAAAAGTTTCTCTATTGAAAGACGAATATCTAAAATCTTACTAAGAATTTCTTTTTTTTTTATGTTCATATTGTTATTTCTGCAATATAATGCTTTTTGGTATATTTCCTTTCTCTTCATACGTAACAGTTCATCTCAGTAAATAGTCAACATACTCCTCTGTTCTCGAGCCTGTTGTTGATCTTGAGTGATGATTACCAGCAATAATTTGTTGCGAATTGTAAGTTGAATCAGGCATGGAAGACGAGCTCGACAAAGAAGCTGGTTAGCATAGTCTATGTGAGCTGCATAGTAAATGAGCAGAGTTAGACTAAGAAAGCTCGAAATAACTCGTTGTCATCCTTGTTCTCCCTTGTTGTTCAAGTGAGTTGAGTACTTCGAGAGTTCGAAGATGCATCAAAGCTTGAGCAATGCGTTCAAAGAAAATACTTTCGACAGGATCGCTGTTGTTCAATGAAACCTGGACGAGTCAAATGTGACTCTATATATGGAGCATCTCGTAGTATTAAATGAATGTGACAGTCAAATTGATGCAAATGAGGTCCACAGGAAAGAATGTTTCGTTGCAAGTAAACGCCGTCAATAAAATGATTCGACATAGACTTTCGTCTGTATTTCATATCGACGACACTAGATCTTATATTGCTTACATCTATCGCTGCTGATTCTGATGTATGAATAATTGACGGTGTGCCCTTTTTATATCGATAAATATACTCAGTTTTTTCATCTATTCGAGACTCTTTTTGATGTACAGTAAGAATACAGAATACTTGTAATCAGTTCGTAATTCGTATTGCATTGTACAAACTCGGCTTCGATGCAATATGATTCGACGCCTGAGAAAACAATTACCATGGAGTCGGTGCCTTCGAGAGTAGTTATTCTAGTGCAAGATTAACATTGTCATTCAAAAAATTCGAACGCCAGGCGAACGAGACAAATCGTCATTATTCTTATCGCAAGAAAATCTAGATAGGCAACGAGAAGGAACTATCAAACTGTGTTCTTGAGCATGAAAAGATGTTGAGCAATCTTACAGTATGGAGAAATCTGATAGAATCTGTCATTAAAACGCTGGAACTTTGCCTTTGTGTCTCGCAAGATGCTTTCACTATCATCTACCCACGCAAAATCATGACAAGAGTATCATAATCAATATGTGCATACAGAGATATTCGTAGAATAAAATCAATCAAACTAAAGATAAAGAGCAATAAAAAAAAGATACTGCGGAAGCAATTAAATTAATAACTACTGTATCAATGGATATGGATCTTACTTTGTCTGGAGTTAATATAACAACACTGGTGATATTATCAATAAAACCAAGAATGGATAATGGGAAACAATTCTACTCCTGCTTCATAGGTCTCGTTACGCCCCTAGGTAAAAGCAAGAAGCAACGACGGATCCCTATCGGACTTTTTTATTGTTCGAAAATTACTTTTTTTAATAATGACATCAAATTGCTTAATTCAGCGACATCTACTTGTCAGTGGTGTGACGACACCGCCATTCTTTTTCTCCTCTTGCAAATGTTATTACACAACTTCAAACAAAATTCTATTTAAATAATAAGTACAAATAGAAAGAAAATGCGGTCCGAAGACTGATGGTTATCTTTATCAAAGAAAAACCTCCATCAGTTGTCCCATGACCGCTTTTTGTTTTCTTTTTAAAATCATCAATATATCATTACTTTTGAAAAAGTGTTCGTTTTATTCTATTAATCGAAGTTCTAGTCTATTACTATTTTCCCTCTGTTCTAGTGGATGCAGGGGTGTCGCGAGCGGACTATGATTAGAAGGTGGAGTCTTTTCTCGATATCACCTTTTCGGAGGGTGTATGGATATTGTTTTCAGTCAAACTCAAATCAACACTCCACACATCCGATATGTTCTATTTTATTCTATTTTAAATTGTTAGAATAAAATATTTGGTACGACAAGAAGTATAGTAGTTCGTGCTTTTTCAATTGATATATTCGCAGCTGTTGAAAACATTCGAGTAACAAAGGATTGACAATTTATTTTATCACCTGTTGCAATTAATGCTTGATATTCACGAGCTTCAAATGATTTTGCATAAGTTCTTAATACTTCTGTTTCAACATATGGCAGTTCTTTCTTGATCAAATACCATGAATATTCTTTACAATCACGTTCATACCATTCATTTCTTTCGTTGTTCGAACTTATAAGAACTTTAACATCATGATTTTTATCCAGAACTAATTGATAAATTACTCCATTAATCTGAATACACCAATGAAGTCCATCAATACCAGGACTGATATTAAGACCAATAAATTGTCTACCAATGGGTCGTTTCCCAATCCAAGCGCCTACATCCAATTCGTTCGTTGCACTAGCGATACCATGTGCAAGATTTCTTGGTACTCGTAATGGATTCAAATCTGCCAAGTCCACTGTGACAGAATGCTTTGCTTCATGCATGTCACCTTTTGCTGTATAGACAACACCTCGCACAGCACCATACACTTGGCCAACACCTGGAACAGCTTTAATTATATTGAAAGCTTTTCTTTCAGCCATATTTCAATAACAATCTAAAAGACGGTAAAAATGATATGATGTTGAAGATAGTATTACTTTTTCCTGTTAGACAGGCCTTGATGCGTACTGAAAAAATCTATTTTGGTTTAAGTTTAAGACCTTTTCTTGTCGAGTTATGAGTGTTCTACTGAGTAGCGACAATTCCAAGCTTAAAGTGATTTTACACAAGAGCAGTTTCACTCGTTATTCATCATCTCGTTAATTTTCTATCATAATCAAATGTATACTAGCAAAGTCATCAATCGTTGATATTCGACTAGGACAACTCATTCACTTTTGATCCAAATAAGATTTAAATCCAATAGTATTGTTCAAACAATTCTAACTGAATATAATGATGAGTTTGGTATAATGTTTTCTATTCTCTCTTGTTTCTTGTAATGTATACTCTATTCTAAAGAGTAGATTCCAAGCAACTGATTTTTCCTATTTTATTCTGAGCTAACATATGTTTATCCAGTCAAATAGTTATCACAGATTCTTTCCTATCAGTTTTCGTATTATGACAGCATTGTAGAATCATTTTTCTTACAACACCTTCCTAATCTTTGAAACCCTATAAAAAAAACAATTTTTTTTCTTACCCACGCGTTGTGCAACTTCTTATCACATACTTTTAACACATGCGCTATATAGACAAATGAAGATAAGGCAAATACATACAACGAGAACGACAAAACAAAACCAATTTGAGCATTAGAGTACCTAAAAAGAAAAGCAAAACATTCTATTTGTAGCCAGCCAATCTATTACTTGTTTTCCTCTTATTTAATCAATATTCTCAGTCCACCCGTTGGACACACACACAAGATCGCTTGACAGTGGGACTTTTATCCACCACTATTTTTGTGGGTAAGAATGAGAGCGTTTGATGGATATCCACATATATTTATTTCTCTTAATATTCGTCGCCGAGGATGCAAGACCTATTGAGTGGACACTAAAGAATTTGATATTTTTAGATACTTCACCAAAACCGACATACTACTGTAAGCATGGTTTTCCTACGATCAAGTCTGCATGTCTTGTTCAGAATTAGTCGTATGGCGGTTTTTGATCAAATTCAGTCAAATATTGATTGCTCGAGACTGATGTGAAAACTAAATTTCAATATAAGAAAATCATATATTCAACTGTATTTCAAAGAATTGTTCTGATAATTTATTTGAATAATTTTTCCATTTTCACCAGTTTTGATGCATAGAAATTGTGAAAAAGAATTGATTCAGAATAGTGCTTTCTTTTTTGAGTTCATCGTATAATTTGATTTTAATGATCTGCGTTCTCTCTCTCTCTCATATTTCCGATTTTGTGAGAATATGCTCCTTGAATGAGTTTCACATTGTAATGACTGGTTACAATCTAGAATAGCGATGGTCATTATCACTCATGTTTTTATGAAATTCCTCCTTATAGGGGGCGACCAGAAAAGATAATTATGTCATACATACTATTGTCTTTCTTGTTTTTGCAGATGACTCAATATTGAAAAAAGAACTTCAATGTGTATCAGCTACTCTGACGTTCTTTTTTATCAAATGATGAAGCTACTTTACTCATTTTCTTTCATTTAATTTGAATATATGGAGCATCAAGCAAGACATTTAAGCATGTAATCTTGTTTGAATGTTGTATGAGTGTTGGTCTTCTCGTCATAGACACACCCACACCGTTAGTGGCAAATTTAGTAACACACGATAAGAGTTCATGACGGAAACGTCATTTATTGCTTGTCGAATCTTTTCGATCGATTCACGTTCTCATTGACCAATTGGTTTCATTAATTGCTGTTTTTGTGGCTCGACTTGTTGTCCTTTAATTTCAATTTTGAACTCATCAAAATAATCTTCAATTTTATCTAATTGTTGTCTCAATTCAATATGATGTTCAGTGATGCGATTGAGACAAAAATCTTATGAACATCCATCACATTTCAAAGTTTTTCTTTTGGTTTTTACATTTAAGACAAGAACTTTTGTTAGCTGCTGTGGCCATATGAGTATCTACTTTAAACAAAAAAATGAAAGAAGATTGATAATATACGATAAGCAACACTACATGAGTGTGTCCTTCGTTTTGCTAATAAAAGAACTCTTACATTATCAGGTTTTATCATCGTGCATTCAGATTTCATCATGGGAAAATTCATAGGCAATCAGATATTCAAGTTTCTAAGTTGTGCATCTACATCAAGAAGATCTCTTTTCTTTCAAAAAAGTTCTTAAGTTAAGTTTTATTCTTAGTAAAGTTATACGAATTTCGAAACACTTTATATGTGATATAGGTAGATATGAAATCTATTCTAATTACGATTAACTGAAGACTGCAGAAACAAATGAAATTCAAGCAAAACTTTGATTGAGAATGTTATGCAACCTAACTGGATGGAAGTTGTCATAATAATTAATAATCTTTTTTTTCATTATTTAGCAGGATACACGTTTGAGACAGACATTTGAAGATGAAAATGAGATATTTTTCCAGACAACATATACAGTTGTTTGCTAAAAACAGAGCCTTGCACAAGGGTGTGTTGATGTGAGTCTGTGGGTGGATATGAATGTGCTTAGATATGAAAGGAATATCTAGACACATACAAACACTATAACTCATACCCAAGCAGCTCCAGCCACCTACACCCTCAAGATCGATTACTTGTATGAAATAAATGCTTGTTTCGAAACGTTCATCATTTAACAATGAAGAGCGAAAGTTGATTATTGAGTAGCTTTTTTTACATCTTTATTGTTAGTAAAAGATCGAAGAAAGATTCAACATCATTCACTTGTTCACAAGGGAAAAGATAGTGTGTTTAATTGGTGAACAACATAAATTCAGATGTGATCATCATGAACGCAGTAAAAAAAAGATTATTCACGCTTTGTTGATTTCAGATAAAATGACGAGAGAGTTCATGTTTAAATACTTCATTTATTTGAATGTTACATTGTGTTTGCTTTGTCATCGCGCCTCGTCGTACGAGTACGCGTGAATAGTACCAATGGATGAATCCTTGGACGCATTTTGGGCCATAATTCATGAAAAGTCCTAAGACAAACAAATGGTACGAATAAAGGCAAGAAATATACAATATAATATAAGTACAACATTTGAATATCCATGGCAAATGTCGGCACTTTCAATCGAATTAGTCCAATGATAATCGTTGGAGCATCGAAAAATAGGTAGAGACAAGAAATACTAAGTAGTTGAATGACCATACGACGATGTTGCCGCCAGTTGATCTGTTGTTGCACACGTCGCTTTTGTGCTACGACACGGATAATCAACCATAGACTAAGAAGAGCGATAGAACATGTTGGAATAACACCAAATGCCAGCCAGTTAAAGAATACTAATTGATCATTATACACATAACAACACCAACCACAAAAAAGGAACGATTGATAAAAAGTATTTGTACATGGATAAAAGAAAATAAGAATTAGATAGTAGATCCAAGGAATACCTAAGGAGGTAAATAATGGTATATGATGAAAAAGAATCTTATTACGAATTGTACCAATGAGATGAGAGTAAAAGATCAATAAATGACGCTCAAATGAAGCCCAAGTCATTACCCATATACCAACAGCATAGTTAGAAAGCGCAAAAAAATTCCACATCAAACAGAAAGTCGATGATGGTGCTCGACCTATTCGCAAATATTCCAATGTCATTGGTAGATCAGAAATAATTTGAAAGAAGCTCACAATAATTAGAGCAATGATTGTATGATTATGCAGAGCGCGACGAAGTGTTGGTTTCGTAATTAAATGAAACAAGAAGAAGAGTGAGCAGCAAATAGATATTAATTGAAAAATGAGTAAGATACTGAATTTAAGAGTGCGTGAAATCGGTGTTTCCAATGAAGGAATATCGTAGGAGATATCAACAATGTTGAATGAATTATTGTATGATGCCATGGCTTCGAACTTAGGAATATGTGAGAGAAAGTTAAGATAATTGCTTCTATCGTTACTACGTCGATGCAAAAACCGAATGCAAATGACTACTGTGAGAAAAAAACAGAAAGTTGATTACGAGCGATGTGATCTGTCATTGTAATAATTAATTAAACTGTGTTTTTTCTGGAACAAGGATGACACTGTTTTCTCTTTTATCTTTCGAAGCAACGCGCGTGTTTCTAAAAATTCTTCATGGATATTTAATTGATCTCATGGTGAAGAGGTAATAAATTCAATATGAAATGAAATTGTCATTTGCAGACATATTAATGCAGTTACTAAACATCTATTCAAGTGCGCCCTTTACTTTACAGAGAATTGAAGACAAGAGATGAACTGTTTCTCACCAAAAATCTTCTAGTTTACTACAATATAAATAAAAACATAAATTGTGATTTTATAGAAAATCAAAGATCTTTTATAGTAGTTTCAACGTTGTTTCAACTAGGCATTCGTCTTACTGAATCATTATACCGGATGTTTCAAAATATTGGCAACATCATTTATTTTGCCACTGTCTCTACGTACACTAATGAGACAATATGAATTCTTTCGCCAAAAGATATGTCTTGAAAAGTTACATGAACAAATTTCTATCGACCTGCTAACGAGGGAACGTTTTCAACTGTCCAATCGCTTTTGAGTTCGGACTTTGTGTAAAAGATAGACCCCAGTGAGGTATGAAAAAATCCAAAAGATTAAATCCCCTTAAGCTTTGTGCCCAGAATTATGGGCATTTTACTAGAATAACAGAAAATTTTAGCATCATTCGTGGGATATAGATGATTTTTGGGACTTTAATATCTAGGGAAGGAAACATTCTTTTCAGCTGAAATTTTCAGAATATTCTACTTACTAATAGGCGTATCTGTGAGCAAAATTTCAGCTCAAAATATCTCCATTCGATTTCTTGGAGTATACTATGCCTGAGTCGTCAGCCTATTCTTATAAACCATGTTCTGTAGACTATACATGACCTGAAAATTCTACAAAGAAGCTCTATGGAAGCATCGTGACCAGACCGTTGAACTCTATTGACTGAACTATCTCTTATTCGAATCCGGAATTAGCACTTAGGGAGATCCCCATCGTTAGTCTGTATTGGCCCCAAAAATCCAAAGGATACAATGCAAAGATCGAAGCCATGAGTACTGATGCTGTGAATGATCGTTAAGCTGTTACAAAAGCTTCTATTTTTCTAGGGTACACACTAAGACAGGGACTTTTTCTTTTCTTTTCTACACCATTGCTTGTTTTCTCGCTGTTTTTAATTTATTTCGTCATTTTTTTTATCAGCCACTATGAAATACATTTATGTATTGCGGTAGCGTATTCCATCGTCACCTTCACTCCAATCTTTTACCCTCAAATGAAGTGTGTATTTGATTACTTTAAGAATCAATCGTTTTTGTTAATTTAAAATAAATAAGAAAAGGCATTTAAAGAAATGACGACAGAAAAACTAAATTAAATAGACTCTTTTTTTTTGTAATTTGCTTTTAAATAAAATTGCTATTGATGAAATAAAGTAAATTTGACAAACTGGTCAAATATATATAAAATAAAATTGACAAAAATATTTATTTTTAAATGAATAACCTCGCCATTTTGAATAAAATCATAATTTTAAAGTCTTTTTTTTTTGTATCTAATAATAAATTTCTTGATTGCTTTTATGATTAAAAATGTATTCTAAAACGAATATTTTCTATATAATATTGATTGGATTTATAATATTATTTAATATTGATAGTTTACCATTACACCACGAGTTATACCATTATCATCATCATCATCACCATGAAGGACGTAAGTTTTTTTATTTTATTTCAACACTGATTTTATCTAAAATACTACTGATGGATTTTCACAAGCGAAGGATTGCTTATTTTGCTCTTCAGAAAATTTGTTTCAATATTTTCTGTTGAAAAACAAATAAAAAAACGAGCTAATAGTATCCTGAATAAGTCTTAAATAGAATTGGTTTTTTTTGTCTACAATCATTTCTTCCACAGACAAAATATCTGACCTTCGCTTTCCAAAATGGTAGATCCAACACTATAAAATAATTAAATTCTCTGAAATAAAAGAACTTGATTTATTAAAGATCATGGAGCATATTCATATTCACCCTACAGAAGAGCTCAATGTTTTTCTGGTGATTCATTAATTAAATTATCAAACGGTGCATATAAAGAAATTGGTAATCTTCAATCCGGTGATGAAATAATAACTATTGATCAGTCAAAAATAATTTCAACAGAAATGATAATGATGTTAGATAAACAAATTTCAAAACAAGGTATTTTATTTATAATTATTAAGAATTATATATATATAATAATTTTATTTTAGCATTATTTTATACGTTAAGAACAGATTCTGGTTATGAAATAAGTTTAACAGAATATCATTTAATTCCAATAATAAATTCAAATGGAAATGAAAATTATTTATTTGCAAAACAAATTAAAATAGGAGATTGTTTATTTGTTCTATTTAATGGAAAATTAATGTATTCTCCAGTGATAAATATAACTATTGAAATGAAAAAAGGCTATTATGCTCCATTAACAATGAAAGGTACTTTATTAATAAACAATGTTTTAGCCAGTTGTTTTGCAAATATTAACAATCATCATTTAGCACAATATTATATGACACCTTTTCGTTATTATTATAAATTTGCTCGATTTATCTCTTTATATGATCCATTTAATATTAATAAAACTGAAGGTTTATATTGGACAGTTAATATTATGCTTCACTTCGCACGTTATTTTAGATTAGATGCATTATGTTTATGATACAATCAAATAGATTGTTCAATTTATTTTGAAACGATTTCCGTAAACTTTTTCTTCATTATTGACTTATACAGATCTCATGATTCTCATATCAGTCTATCTTACTACGATCATAGATGTTACTCTAACAATCAGTTTTTTTAAAAATAAATGAGTGTATCGTAATAAAGTGCTTGATGATATTGAAAAGATCATTACAAAGCTTTTTACAAAAAGTACAGGTACTGCTATAACTAGAAATTAATTTTTCCAATGAATTCTTCATACTATTGTCGTTTGATCTCAAACTTATACCACAGATACATCGACGGTCAATCTATCTGTTCTGAAAGTTTCAACTATAAAAAGGGCGAGAATTTGTAGAAAAACATGCAAATATTTCTCATATGGTTGAAGCGAAACTTGTTGCAAGGCTTGTTCTGTTGTCATTTCTGCTTCGGTTTGAACTCTAGAATAGTGGTTAAGTGTCTTTTAGAATTACTTACAAGTGAGAACATCTTAGGCATCTATAGTCATCATCGAAAGATTCAAATCGAAGCAGGATGTAGGTGTGGGTATGGGTGAAGAGAAAAACAACATCCACAGCCATATCCCACACCCAGAATGATGAAGTATGATAATTTTAATGGACTTACCTAAGTGAAATTTATAGGTATTCTAATTTGGAAATTTCCTAACTGCTTCTTCTCTACTCAAATAAATTAGAATATCTTCATATTTTTGGTTTAAACAAGTATTTTCTATTTAATACAACGAAATTTAACAAAACAGATTTGATCTCTTACACATTCATGACAAGAATCTTTTAACGCTTTTTTTTTTGACAGAAAAATTAGTCGTAGTGTTTAAAAAAAAATTAAAGAAAAACTTTCAACGTTAGATGAACCTCATGACGAAATAATAGTTTATCTAAGATTAAAATATCATGTTTAGTTTATCTGATCTACATACAAACTTTGTCATTGTAAAGACATGTATTAGAATCTTCTGACTGTTAACGACTTGGAAAAGGAATTATACAAAACACAAAAATTTTTGAAATCAAAAAAAAAAAGCTGAAGGATCGAAACACTGACTACTCAAACCCCTATGAATTTTACTCATCAGATAACTCAGAACGATGCGTCGAAAATCCTCATTGTTTGCAAGCTTCAGCTACCGAAATGCTTCTAAAAGCAACCGATCGCCGGTTCCTCAACCTATTGAAAATTGATAATCTGAAGGCCCAATTTACAATCCAGACATTCATCGATTTGCCTTAGAGGTGACTGGTGCGATTTGTTTTTGAACAAAAAACTGCACATATTATGATCTGGTCGATTTAGAATTACAACAAAAATAACATTGGTTAACATTCAAATTCAGAAAATAAAAAATTTCTTGGTGAAAAAGAATTCCTTTTTTTTGCATTATAGAACAAACATATTGAAAAAATTTTATTTTCTTTGTAAATCATCAGTGATCAATAAAAAAAACAGGACTTCTTTTATAATTTGCTTTAATTAATTCAATTCATTTTAAAAAAATATATTATATTCACCCTTCTGATTGAACATTTAAACTCTTTTCAATATCTACAATTACATTTCAAGTTTGAAACCTTTCTTAATTCGTGCAGTTTGTCGAAGTTTATCTTTTCCTTTCTCAGACAAATCGCATTCTTCGATGTAAAGATATATAAGTGTTTGATTGTGTTTGAGCATTTTAACAAGACTCTCAATACCCAATTCACTTATCAGTTTGTTATTGGTTAGATTAAGTGATATGAGTGTGTTGTTGTGATACGAGAGCGCTTCGGACAATCGTTCAACTCCCCGATCACTTATTTCATTATCACCGAGCAACAGACGACATAGCCTTGTATTTGTCTTGAGTATTTCGGCCACATACGTTGCACCTTCATCTGTAATACTAGTGTCTTGAAGATCCAAAAGCAATAGTGTAGAACTGTTGAGTGAGAGTATCGTCATTAGACTACGAACACCTTTATCACATAAACGATTGTCAGTAAGATACAGATCTTCTAAAGTAGCATTATTGTTTAATGCATTGGCAATGATTGAGGCTCCTACTGATGTTATTTTGTTATATTGTAAGTAGAGTTCCTTGCACTGTTTATTGATAATAGCCTCTTTCACAACGATCTTCATATCTTCATCATTCAAGTTTAGTGCCATTAAATTCACTTCTGATTGTGATTGACATTGTTCGATAAGATCTTGAAGTTTTTTATTTTGATAATTATTTGTGAAAGATGATGATGAGATTTGAATACGTAAAAAAGATGGTTGAATATTTTCGATTGGATTAATAATAGTTGAAGATGTTGATGGAATATGAATAAGAGGAAAAGGTGGTTGAATTTCTTTGATATGAATAATTTTCAACTGATTTCCTGAATTAAATGATGAAACAACTTGAAATTGTCTTGCTGGATACATCAAGATTTCATTTTCATTTTGATACATTGAATGTCGAGAAATATCTTTAGCTGAATCACATTCGATATTAAATATAGTTCGAGATCCATTCTGACCAAGAAATCGTTCTAAAACTTCCATGGATGATGTAGACGATGAAAATGTCCACCAAACAAATATTTTGTCTTTTTGATATTCATCACTAAGATTCATTTTAATTCCACGATAAATGATTCGATGTTTCGTTGATGGTAGTTTTGAAAGAGCAAAAATAAAAAGACGACGATAGAGAAACCAAGGTAATAGTTCTTTTCGATCTTGTGATCGAAGAGTCTTATTTAAGATAAAGTAAAAAGAAGATTCTTGAGATGTCCATTCTAATGTATATAACATGATAGATGCTGATTTATCAGATGAAAGATGATCATGTGGATGTTGACAATTTTGTTTGACTGTCCAAACCATTTGTTCAACATCCGAAACAAATGGAACAAGAGGTTTGACAGCTAGTTCAAGTGAAACAATTGGTTGTTTTTCATAATCTTTGATTGGATATGAAACAAAAAATCAATATATATATATTTTGTAAAATGTGAAAAGCACTTTTTATTGTTTTTCTTTTGATAGATGTGAAAATGTTGAATGTATTTCTCATTTTCTCAATATGAAGAAAATGAAAGGAGAAAATCTTTTGCTTTATTCAATGTTTTTGATCAGATGTAAATAAATGTAAATTTATCTTTTTAAATAATATTTGTAAGTCGAATGAAACAAAGAAGACTTGTTAATAATAGTTTGATGGAATAAGAATATCTTGTATTCTGTTTGATGAATTTCTAAAATAAGATCAGATATTTGTTACATATTGGCAAGAGACAATTTGAATTGTTTTCGAAAAACTCAAAGAATAAAATTTGTTAAAAGAAAATTTCCCAACTACAATCTAATGCTTGTTTTTTTTTTTATTGAGGTTGTATAATGGATTCTTCTTTTGACTTTTTCTGTTTAGTGAATGTTGTGAAAGGATTTGACGTTTTTGGAAGAGAAAAAGAAAGGAAGAAAAACATTTGGTTTGTATTGTTTGAAAAGAGAAAATGAAGATTTGGGTTAATATATTCGATGAATGAAAATGAAGTTCTTCGATCAACTGACAAAGCAATTGGAATATGACGATTTTATTCGATTGAAAAAATGTTCTTTTTCTTCCATTACTTCACTAGGATGATGAAGTTTCTTTAACGAAACAAAAAAAAAAAAGAAAATAATTGTTTTTTTTTCATGTTGAAAGAAATCAAAATGTTTCGTTGATAGAAAATGAAACAAGATAACTCGTTTTACTAAATAAAAATAAATGAAAATGATAATAAAATTCGAAAAGATTTGTAATTGTTTTATGAATAGATTAAAACTTTATTTGATTGAATATTTAAAAAGATGAAGAAATTTCTTCAAATTAAAAGGAATCTTTTTGTTGAAATTAAAATGAATATTTAATTATAATGGAATAGAAATAATATTTGCTAATCAATTGAAATTCTTTTTTTTTGATAATATGGTTAAATGAACAGAAAAAGATTTTTAATAATTTAATTTGAGATTTTAAATGTTCATATATTTAGAAGATTTCTTCAATAATTGAAATTTTTGCAAATTCATATGAGTTTGTAACAAAGCGAATCACAATTCAGTCGACTTCTAACAAAAGTTTGTTTGAATTTTACAAAGAAAAAAAAATATATTTCAAAAGTTGAAACTAAAATAGATTTTCTTAAGGTTTTAAAGTTAAATAATAAATAAATAAATGATAACATTCTATTATATTCAAAATAAAGAGAAAAAAAAAGGTCTTCTCTTTATAAATATTTCTTCATTAATTTCTAAATGATATAAAATATGTTGAACAAATGAATATTTTCAGTTTTAGATATTTGTTGTTCATTTCCACATAGAAGAAATGAATTTGATGAAATTTTGATGAGAAAACATTTACTTTGATAAAAAGATTTTGAAATTTTTTATGTTATTGAATTGTTTATTGAAATTGGATTAAAATTAAATAACTAAGCAAATAAGTTTTTCTCAATCTTTATTTTAATCTGATGAACGAGGAGTTTTATGTTCTGAGACATCAACTTTATCTAACCAAAAAAATAAATCAAAAGAATCGACTTGATTTAACAACGAATAAAGTTTTTTTCCCGTTGTCGATTGTTTATGTTGAAAGAATTCGAATAAAAATTTTTTTTTTAATTTTTACAAAGCAAAGAACTTAGTCGAAATGACATGAAAAATGTCTTTTTTACCCTTATCTTCAAAGGAAATCGTTGTGAAAAACGAATATTGATTATTAGAACAGAATCAAAATTTCAGCAAAAGTTTTTTTTTTTTTTTACTTTTAAACCTTTCGTTGAAATTCGTTTTTAATAATCATTTAATTGATTATAACTCTTTGTACATGTCAAGACAAATATAATTTCGATGCATTATGATCATAATAAATCCAACTGATTTTAATAGATTCGTTTTTATTTGATCTTGATTTATCATCTTAGATGTTTTATAAGAGATAAGAGCAATAAAATTTTAATATTGTTTTGTTTTGTGTGAAAGAAAAAATAAAACAGAATGGAAAAAAATCATTTCTTCTCCAACGAATAATTTCATATAGTTTGATCTATTTAATGTTAACATGAACGAAAAACAATATTGATCAATATTCCGATTTATCTACTAAAATATTTTTTCAACACAAGTCTCTTTTCTTCGTCTTAAGTTGATGAAAATATTGAAAAGTTTTTTTTACTTTCTCTATCATTCGTCAATGGTAAAGAAAAAAAAGGTTTACAGGGTGGATATGGGATGTAGATATCTGCTCATTACCCATATCCACACCCCACACCCTCAAGAAATTGACCATGTTTCTTGCATACTAATGCATTCATAGAATTACTCTGAAGATATTGGCATAGCAGCAAAAAAGATTTTTTAATCTAAATAATCTAAGTTGCCTCAATCATCAACATTTGTCTTCTTGATCTCAATAACTTTCCACTTATTAATATAAATGGAAAATGATAAAATTACTTTTTCCTGTATCTTTTCTGCCTCATACTGCTATCCATTAAATATTTGTTTAAATGTGACGATTGCTTCATCAATACAATCAAATTGAACTTCATTAATTGATGTAGTGACGACTCGAATTTAAAAAAATTAGATATTGGTGTCTAATTTTTAGAGGTTACTACTTATTTTGATTTGTTTCAAGAGTTATTTTTCAACATGGCAAATATCATGATCGCACATCGATGTAATTTACTAAAAGAATCCGAAATTTCGTTTTCTTTTCGATGAATGTCGATTGAATGTGAATCGATAATATAGTGTGACGAAATAAAAGAAACTCAATCTATCGAATATATATGTCGCGACACACTTTTAAAGTTGTTATTTTTTTTTAATGATTAGCTAAGAAAGTCAAATAATGAACGAATCGAATTTTGAGGGGGAATCGTAGGATGACGTATAATGGATTTGAATATAAGGAATCGATATTAAAAGTTCGAAATACGAAAAATGATCAATATTTTAGTATCATCATTGTCTAATGCAAAATAAAAAATTTCTATATGAGACTCTGAGATTCTGCATATTTTTATCTCGTTTTGTCAATCAAATCAAAATTTTTTAAAAACTTTTTACATTTGTAAAAAAAAAATAAGCAACGAGATATCTAGTGTATACAAATATCATAGAGAAATGTTGAACACGTTCGAGCATCGAATAAAATGTTTCTTTCATTGACGAATTGTGTTCTCTTTTTTATTCTGTGATAGAATACTTAGACGATACGCAATCATAATGGAAATTGCATGTCATCAAAACTCTAAACAACAGCATTCATACTTACATCTTGACAATAATATAGAAATACTTCATTGAATATCATATACTTCCCTCTCCCACTTTTCCATTCGAAAGCTTCAACCAATAAAAACAACATGAGAAGATTTCAATCATCTTGAAATGAATAATTCACTCATGATATACTTGTGCGTAAGAGCGAAAATATGATAGCAGGAGTAGATGTAAGTGAAATGCATTCACAAAACAACTAACACTTTGATAACTTTGTATGTAATGTAATCGATATACTACCTTTTTTGTTCCAAGGATACTCTCACCTTTTTGATGAAATCATGGTCATTTTAAACAATCGTTTATTTATTGAACATGAATTGTACACAATAATTCTCATTATAGAATATTCAACTATAAACATCAAACAAAGATTATTATTGTTTCTGTGCTTGAAATACATGATTCATATTAATTCTGTTCGTTTTCATGTATCTACTCTATATAACGTAAACAAAAAATGCTGCATGATTGATGACAGTTTACATTTCTTCAATATATATACACATATATAGAGAAAGAGAAAAAAAAAACGAAAAGTGAGTGATGGCATAGAATTGTAACATCATTTTCATTTTCCAACAATCAATCGTCTGTATCACTTGACATGTAAACTTTATTGATAATATATATATATGAGAATATTGAACTATTAAGAAATTATACATATTAACTTTTTATTTTCTAGAATACAAAACCACCGATAGTCCAATTCAATATTAATTCAGCTTCGTACCTTTGCTACAAGCAATCGTATTATTAATTAATATTATTATTCATTTACTTCAAATTACATAAACTGTAAGTTTATATGAAGTAGTCTCTTAAAGTAATATGCAATTTTCCAGTAAGATAAGCATGAGAGTCTTGAACGATTTACTTAATACTTGTTATGAATCGATATTGTACTCTTTAAAGCAATAAAACTGCGCTTTTGTACAGTGTTTCTTCGTAACCACTGTCAAAACGAATAATTCTTATTCATATTCCGCTTGTTGACTACCAATTAGCTCATATGTGCTAAGAACCATCTGTTTTCATTCATCTATCCTTCTCTTTTTTCAATTATTTTGTTAACAATATTAGCAAAACGATTGAAAAAAAAAGAGAGGGATATAAGTTAATGTGAATAAGACTCATTAGAACCACTGTTGCCTTTCATACCGACTCCCAAAAAAAAAAAAAAAATTAAAACTAAGATTTATCCTGCTATCATTATCTTAAATGAAATGATTGAGATCATAATCGCCAAGCATTGAGGATTTCAATTAACTTGTAATTACGTTGATCATCATTTCACTTTCCATGGTTATGAGTTCTCGTATAAAAAGAGTCTATAGTGGTGAATGAGACAATCGTGCCATGAGTTTTGGTTGCACTTCCTTTTGACATAATATATTGCAAGGTCGAATTAGATGCTTGTGATTTTTACGATAATACTTCCAAGAACGATCGAAGTCATTGTTACTCTTGATAAAAAAAAAGCGAAAATGCCATTGAGATCATAATACTCAAAAGTTAGCCTTAGAATTTGTTAGTCGTTACCAAGGTCAATGCAGCCTGTTTACCCATAAATTAGTTCTATGTCGAGAATATTATCGCTTTGGTTGAGACGATGATCAATTCATATAGTAACTAAAAAATAGAACATTGAATCAATAGATCGTTTTACGTTTTGACTTTTTAAAATATTGAAATCATATAAATTATATATTCGTATGATTATCTAGAATTATTCTAATTTTTTTTTGAAAATTTTGTAATTAGTAAACATCAATTGAAACGCATTGAAAATGAGTTCACGACTTCGATTCATAAGTACAAGCGATTCAGAAACAGATTCTATGAATATGTCAAATCCACTGGAAGGATCAATTACTATCCCATTGGATTTCTTCGATGAATTGGCTTCATTCTATTACAGTCGAGGAAATCGTTATTCTCCATCAACAGGTGCTAGCATGAATCGAATTAAAAGTATGCCATGAATATTTGAGTATAAATCTAAAACAATAAGAGTTTTTAACAATATTTTAGCATATAAGGATGTTCAATGTCAAACTGATATTGAATATACCAATGAAAAAACATCGAAAGTAGTGGTTGATTTACCATCATCTTTAACTCAATCAACAATATCTTCAAAAAAATCCACAGAAGAAACAACAGTTGTTTATGGTAAAGAAGTTGATTCTTGTTTTTTTTTTTCGTTATAATTAAAAAATTCATAGTTGATGATATTAGTTGTATATCTTATCTTTTAGATCAAAACAAAGAAAGTCCATTAAGAACTGATATTAATAAACAGCCAAAGAAACTATATGCCGTTAAATCTAGCATTACAAAAAAACTGTTAACAGAACGACAACAGACAATATCAACAATCGATCAAATTGCAACTGCTAATGTCACTTCAGCACCATCGAAATCATCCAATGGTGATAATAAATATCATTTTGAAAATGATAAAATACAAAGAATGAAGAAAAATGAAAGAAGACGGGACAAATTTCGTATTTTGGCTCGTACACTTGATACATTAGGAAATATTGATCCATCATTAGATTCAACTTCATACAATAAACAATTAGAAAAACGTTGTATTACTACTCTAGTACCTTTAATACGACAAATTAAATCAGAACCATTTGAAATCGAAGATCATCATCATCATTAATAAAGACAAAATAAAACAAACTCATGGTTAATGCTTTTTTTTTGTTTTACTATGTCATTGTTTATCTGAAACACATGGATTTTTCATAATAATCATTTAATTTAAGTAACATCAATAAAATTCTCATACATTCATTCAAGTCAAAGTATAATACCTATTTTGTAATAGCAGAAAACGTGCAAGAGTGAATAGTTCTTCAGCAAGTTCCATCTCGAATTCTCAGTCATTTATAAATAATTTGTTTTTCTTCTTCAAACAAACATTGAATTTCAAAAAAAAAATACAATTGATTATTGATCATGTTACACATTTGTTCGTACTTTCACTGATATGCCATAAGATTGACAACTTTTGATTCCATCCATAAATGGATCACACAGAATGTTTTGTATTCAATATCGAATTATTTATTAGGAAGAAATTTTCAGTTCGAACATACTGTAAAAAATATTTACTTGTTTTAATAGGCAAATTTTGAGAACAGTGATTTATTCTTTTTCATAATAGCAGTGGACAATAGTATGAAGTCGTTGGGGAAATTGTTCCCGTTTATGGAGAAATGCTTCACCCCACATAAAGTCATGCATAACAAGGAGAAATGGAAAGAAAGAAAAAAAATATATATATATACATATAATCTATTATATGATATTGTGCTTATACTTGAATTTAAAGGGAAATGGTTTTTCTTTCAGAGAGAAATGGTTCAACAAGGAGAAATGGAAAGAACGAAAGAAAAAAAAAATAGTCATATAAACAGATTTCATTATCTGTTACTGCACTTCAATTACAAAATCGTTAAGTAAACAAACTTTCTTTTGAAACATTTTTTCATATTACATTTGATTATTATTTATATTAGATAAATGTTTACGATATTCTTTAAAAAAAAAATTTAGAAAAAAGATTCCAACACCACCATCAAATCAGACAAAATCATTGTATTAAGATTTTATTATTATGTTTTCTTTTCGTTAATAAAAATTGTTATAGATATAAAACACTATTATATTCAAAGCAAATGCTTCATACACACGACGAGCTTTAAGATCTATATCTTAGTCAACATAATTAATTGTTAAAACGTTTTTTACAAAATATACATATCATAAATATCATTATGTAAGATAAATTTCCAAAGACTATACATAAACATCAGACATATGTGTATATTTTCACAACCATAACAAAGACGTTGACCATTCTTTGATAATTTATAAATAAACATATATTTTAAGATTCTTCCTCCATTTTTCTTTCTTTCAGAAAAAAGGCTAATAAATCTTATATTGTATGATAAATAAAAACTTTCACTAATTTTCAATTAAAATCATACTAAAGACTAAATAATAATTAACAAGAATCCCATCTCTATCTATATGACTCTTATCCGTTTCTTCTTGTAAGTAGAGAAACGGTTAAAGCATTTCACCAGCTATTTTAACCATTTCATATGGAAAAAATCCATATCTGCTAGAAAATCCTATATAAGAGACAAAATAAAATAATCGATGTCTCTTTGAATAAATCCATTCCTCCTTATAAATAGAGAAATGGATGAAGCATTTCACCTGCTATTTAAACCATTTCTGCTGGAAAAAATTCATATCTGCTAGAAAATCCTATATAAGAGACAAAATAAAATAATCTATTTCTCTTCGAATAAATTCCATTTCTCTTTATAAATAGAGAAATGGATGAAGCATTTCACCTGCTATTTAAACCATATCTGTTGAAAAAAAATCCATATCTGCTAGAAAATCCTATATAAGAGAGAGAATAAAATAATCGATTTCTCTTTGAATAAATCCATTTCTCCTTAAAACTGGAGATATGGATGAAGGATTTCCTCTGAAAAAATAACCGTTTCTTTTGGTATATAGTGAAGTATTGATTTGTATTGAAGGGGAATTTGATGTTGAAAAAAGAATTTCTGCTTAACTATTTGAGGTAAAACGATTTCTTCTAGAAGTGGAACGGTTTCTCTATGAAGTGGGGAAATGGTCCACCCCTCTTTCATAATAAATATTTTATAAATAGCATCTATGACTAAATCAAGTTCATTATTGTAGAATTTTATAGAGAATGATCTTGTCTTTTTTACTTAAAATCAAAATTACATTGAATAAATCATTTGAAAAAAAAAAGATCGAATTCTGTAAAAATGAAAATACTGGCGTTTTTTTTTGTTGTAAGCCTTCTAATAGACAATATTTGTCAATCAAGGGTGTGGGTATTATCTTTTTTCACCCACACCCTTCATGCTCTTTCTGAATATGACTTCAAAAAGAAGAAAAACAAAATGCAGAAAATACTCAAAAAGTGAAAATATTAAGAAAAAGAGCACAATAGTCATAAAATTGGCAAGTATTACCTGACAATGACCAACAAAAAATAGTTTTAAGACGAAACTAATAAAATATTCGGAATCATCATGCAAAATTACATCCTGCAGCATGAGTTATGACTAAAAATCTTTTCCATCGAAAAATCGGGCCCTACTCCCCCTCAGTACTTTTCTTACCTAAATTTTCTTGTGGTCTCCCTCCGTTGAATTTTTCTGAAATTTTTTTTTAAATAGAATTAATGCTACAGGATGTAGTTTTGCATGCTAATTCCGAATATTTTATTAGTTTTGTCTTAAAACTATTTTTTGTTGATCATAGTCAGGAAATACTTGCCCATTTTATGATTATTGTGCTCTTTTTCTTAGTATTTTCTGCATTTTGTTTTTCTTCTTTTTGAAGTCATATTCAGAAAGAGCATCAAAACCTACATCGAACTATATATGCCACTCATTGGATGGAAATTTCATTTTCCTACCATATGAAGGTAAAGAAGCTTAAAACCTGGTTTTCTTTTGTCTTTTCTAGTATTTTATACTAAAACTATCTAAAACTCAACTGTAAACAACCTTATTAATGTATTTTTGGTTGGAAAAATATTTGCGCACATCACTAAATGTATATTAGACCTTCTAATGACGTTACTAGGTCGCCTAAGGGCGATAGCTGAAAATGGACCTTTAACATCATCCCACAGAAAACTAGATTTTAATCGAAAAAAATTCCTCTTTTTTCGAATTTCAACCTGAAATTTAGAATCAGCATCAAATTCTGCGCCTAATGGTTGTCAATTTAACAAGTTTCGAAAAAGATTCTTTGGACGATCCTGGGGTCCCCTACAAGTGTTAAATGAACCATGAAAAATGAAAATCGTTTTTTCCCAAAAAAAATGCCTCATTTTACTCAGAAATTAATACTGATTTCGAATCTGTAATTCTTTTTACAAAATATTGGGAGGCGAAAAAATGGCCTTAACGTCACTGGTTCTTTCGACGGTTTATTGTTTAGATTGCTCAGTTAGTTTCTGAATGGCTTTGATGACCTGGTACTTTTTTACTGAAAGGAGAAATGATCTTTTTTCGTTTATTCATAGTTTAAATTTGAATTTTCGAGAAAATCGACAACAGTTCTTTTTATATATATCTGAATTCTATTTCGTAGGGTTTATTTCTAAAATTTCTTTGCTATTCCATAAATTATTTATTTATTAATAACTGAAATTTTTGTCTAAAAAAAACAAGAACAAATACTTCGGCATCTTGCAGTACAATTTAGTATCTAGATTGCGCACTAAATTTTACCGCAAGATGTTGGAGAAGTGCTATACATGTGCTAAAGTTGCCGCATAGATGCAGCCGACATTCAATCTGCGTTTACTCTCTTGGATATCCTTCATATCCACACTGAATGTAAAAAAGGCGTTTATAGGAAAAAAAATGCGTTTTTATATCAGCAACATTGTCGTATGGAATACCCTCTTAAACGATTTGTTTGCCATTTTTAATGATAACTAAATGTACTTCTAATCGTTTGAGTAAATTCGTTTAAAGTCTATCGGAAACACATGAATTAATAAGAAAACACTCTTAAACAAAGGTTTTTGTAGATTCTTTTTTTTTCATAGGTTCATTATAATCGACAAATATTTAGAGCAAACAACTACCATGACTCGGTGACATGATTATTAGAGAGGGGTTCGCCTCGGTATTAGCAAATTAAATATCCTTCAAGACTGTTTATTGTAAGTTAGAAAAGAAATCTTCTCAAAAAAAAAATAAAAATTACAATCAAATTAAATAATTCGTCGTAGGCAATAGTAGAAAAGACGTTGCATAAAAGGAAATATTTCAACTATATTTGTTACTAGATAAATGAATACTAGGATTAATTTAAGATTTTTCATTCGGGATTGAAGATAATAAATAGTAATACCACTCAAAATGTAAAACGTTACACAGATGATACAAACATTATATAATGGTGAATCCAAAACGTGGATGATGTTTCCTAAGACCAGAGAGACAGCAGGCATAGCAACTGATAGAAGAATGTTTGTCATGTACGTATAGTTCATAAATGTGGCTTGAGGATGTTGGAAAAAAATATACATTGATCGATACCAAAAATATCCTCGCCGTGGTGGCCAATGAATAGTCCAAAATGATCGTTGTGGCTAAATCATAGTATAAAAGCAGATGATGTCAGATATTATTGTTTTGTAGAAATGAAACTTACTTGCTTTCCAATCCAAACATGTACAGTGATAGGCCATTGCCTATCAATAAGCCGATTCAATCGACATGTGTAAGTGTTTTTGGCCAAACGCCGAGAACCATACAACAATAGTTCTGGTTTATGATACCAACACTGTTCGATATTGCCGAACTTTGAATCAATCGTAAATGATGCATCGGACAAATGTTTGAATCCATCAATGAAACGAATCATATCCATTTTCGAACAGATGGATGAAACACTTAAATGTTTCACATTGGGAAAAATACGTAACAATATTTCGATTATATAACTCAGCTTTTCAGTGGAGAGCTCAATTTTAAGTGTTCGAATCTGTTTGATTCGATAATCTCGGAATGAGTCAATCAAATGTATTTCAATTTGTTGCTGAATATACAATTTATGGAGACGAGACATTCT